CTTCTGAGCTAGATGGCCGCTTGTTTACCTTCAAGCTTTTAAGACCCCAGACGCTATATCTTTTGATAGCCGGGCACCATCAGCTTTCTTCACTGGTCTGTAATATTACCACTCATCTATCACTTGGTGATTTTGTGGGGCTGGAGGCTACACCATCGGTATTTTAAATACCAGCAGGGTCATCACTGGTGAACAGGTTTCAGTGGAGTTTTCAGACTAAGGACGGACTACGAAGAAGGAATAGGTTCTCCACTTCTGAGGGATTCACCCCTGAAAACCTTATGAGTAGCAGTGGAACCTTGAGAGAGAAAGTGCCGGGAGATGAGCGCCTCAGACTCAAACTAAGACATAGGAAGAGCTGCCTTCTCAAAGTAGAGTTGACTTTAATGGTATGGATGGAGTCGTTTGGGGACCTTTATTTGCTGATGGGGCACAACTCAAAACGAGAACACTGTTAATAACAAGAATGTGGAATGCACGAAGTATGATTATAGGACAGTTGGAAGTCATAAAAAATGAAACAGAACACATACAGATCAGTATTCTGAGCATTAGAGAACTGAAATGGGCTGCTATTGGAATGGCAAATTCAGGAAGAATGATATCACATTCACTGTCAAAAAGAACATTTCAAAATCGACTTTGAAGTTCAATGCTGTGATAGGATATTTATGTGCACACAAGAAGTCCAATTAATATGCACACCAACCACTCAAGCTTGTGATGAAGAAACTGAAGAATCCTACACACGTCTTCAGGCTTAAATAGATCCACCATGCAATCAAGATACCTCGCTAATTATTGGTGATTGGAATGTGAGTGTTGGAAACAGAGGAGGATCAGGAGTTGGCCTTGGTGATAGAAATGGAGCTGGAGACGTCATGATAGAACTTTACAGGACCGATTTTCAACAACCTAGATGACTCTCCAGGTGGCCCTCGCCAGATAGAATACACAGGAATCAAGCTGACTACCTGTATGAGAAACAAGGTGAGCGAATGACGATAGACCATCACTTGTTTATATGAATGTTCAGATTGGAGCTGAAGAAGATGAAAACAAGTCAATAAGAGCCAAAATATGAATTTGAGAGTCCCACCTGAATTTAGAGAACATCTCCAGAACAGATTTGATGCATTGAACACTGGTGACAAAACGCCTAAGTTGTGGTATACATCAAGAGCATCATTCACGAAGAAAGCAAAAGGGCATTAAAAAGACAAGAAAGAAAGAAAAGACCAAAATGGATATCAGTAGAGATTCTGAAGCTTGCTTTCAGACACAGAGCAGCTAAATCAAATGGTTGGCGTGAAGCCATTTCAGAGGCAACATTTGATCGAGAAGACGAAATCTAAGTTGCACTGAAGGCATGAGTGGAAAATGAGGCACCGGAAACCGATGGAAGATCAAGGGAAATGTTTCCCCAAGTTGATGAAGCATCAGAAAGACTCATTAGTCTATGCCAAGAAATTTGGAAGATAAAGTGATCCGTATTTGTGCCTGTTTCCAAGAAAGATGACCCAACAGGATGCAAAAATGATTGAACAATATTCTTCATATCACATGTAAATGAAAATTTGATGAAGACAACTGAAAAATGGCTGCAGCAGTACATTGACTGAAAACTTTCAGAAATACAAACTGGATTCAGAAGAGGATATGCTAAAAAGGATATTATTGCTGATATCAGATGGATCTTGGCTGACAGCAGAGAATACCAGAAAGATGTTTACTTGTGTCTTATTGACTATGCCAAGGCATTCGATGGTGTGAGTCCTAATAAACTGGATAACATTGAGGAGAATGGAAATTCCAGAACATTTCATTGCGCTCATGTGTTCATAGATCAAGAGGCAGTCATTGGCATAGAATAAGGGAATATTGTGTGGTCTAAATCAGGAAGGAAGGTGTGTTTCAGGGTTGTTTCCTGTTACCATACTTATTCAACATTTACATTGAGAAAGTAATCTGAGGAAGTGGACTAGCTGAAGAAGATCATGGTATCCTATGGGGACTGGAGGAAGGCCAGTGATATGCAAATGATACACTCCTGCTTGCTTAAAGCAAGGAGGACTTGAAGCACTGCAGCCTTCAGTGTGGATTGCTACTCAATGTAAGAAGGCAAAAATCCTCATAATTGGATCAATACACAACATTATTATAAATAGAGAAAGCATTGAAATTGTCAAGGATTTAATTTTACTTGGATTCATAATCAATGCTCATGGAACCATAGTCAAAATACTAAATGACTCATTGGACAAATCTGCTGCCCGAGACTGCTTTAAAGTGTTAAAGAACAACCGTGTCACCTTGGGGACTAAAGTGCACCTGACCCAACCCCTGGTATTTTCAGACAAGTCACATGCATATGAAAGCAGGAGGATGAATGAGGGAGACTGCGGAAGAATTGATGCCTTTGAATCTATTGCCAATATTCTTGGCAAAGAATATTGAAAGTATAGTGGGGTGCCCCCAACACAAACAAATCTAGAGGGAGTACACCAGAATGCTCTTTAGAAATGAGGATGACCCGATTAGAGCAGCCAGTCCACAGTCCACAGTCCACATGGCTGACCCCACTATGAGACACAATGTTCCTCACTGACCCCTAACCCTATAGGGGACAACAC